AWTTTYCYTCACATGAAGATGAGTGGTTACTGGAAAAGCCATGACCAGTACCCCAGGYAGTCCAATCTCGGTTTTTGTCTGTATGGTATATTGCGAACATTCGATATTTATGAATAATTCTTTATTTGTAAGAGAATCGTTCAGTAGACTTGCATGAAACTTCTTGTCTATTTTAATTATTTGTACAACRAAAGTCTTTTTTCTAGGTTTTTTCTTACCTTATTTAGGCAAGTTACGAAGAAAGAAAAACCTTCAATCATATTGATTAGAAAATCACAAAGACACCTTTTTTAATTTGTAATTAAAACCAGGCAACCAGAACTAACAGCAATAATTCAAGAGTAAGATGACAAGTGTCACTAGGCTCTGTAYGAACTGAAAAAACAGTGTGAATCCGAATAAGACACAATGAAAAAAGCACAAAAATAGACATAACACTGTTATGATTTGATTAAAAATGATTTAAGAAAAAGTACAACAATAAACCTTCTTTTGAATTTTGTGTGTGTGTGTGTGTGTGTGTGTTTTGTGAACCTTTTTAAGTTTTCCTTTGTTCTATGGAAACAAAAGACATGTTTTTGTAAATTGAATGAATTCGCGATAGTRGGCTAATGACTTGCATTGTTTTTAGGAAAAAAATGGTTAATTTTCTCAAAACTTGGAGGAGGAAAGTTGTACTTTTCTTTCTTGATTTTTTTTTGATTAAATTTTTAAAAACGTCGTCAAAGCTCGTCAAGGCAAGACAGACCAGAATCCAATGTGTGTACATCTGTCATATTTACGTGTAACCAGCGCGCGCTCAGTTTGATTTTGATATGCAAATTTATCGTATTCTGTTGTATGTTTTCATCCGTTATCGTTGACGTGTACAGCTTATTGAAACTCACTTCCGAAGTCTCTTTGAAAAATCCTTAATATCCAAAGGCTTTGAAACGAAAACTAGTAGAGGGCGTAGATATTGAAAGACATTTTATTCAGTTAGTTAAAGCAATCTCTGTCGCGAGAAATTTAAAACGGAAACAAGTTATGGGATACGGACTTCACAAATTTGTGGGAAAAGTAGACCCAAACTTGATCTGCAGTATTTGCGTAGGAGTATTAGAAAAGGCTGTGACTACAATATGTGGACACTCATTTTGTGAAGACTGCCTCGATAAATGGTTGGATCGACCCCAGGCGAGATCTTGTCCAAGCTGCCGTTCTCATGTTCTGAAAGTAGATCTCATCCCGGTCCATGCATTAAGAGGGATCGTGGATGGACTATCTGTTCATTGTGATAACAGTGAAAATGGATGTGAAATGGTAATGAAGCTAGAGAAGCATCAAGTCCATTTAGAGTCGTGTCCCTATGGCATGGTCGAGTGTAAGGCTTGCCATTCTGAAGTCAAGAGACTTGATCTGGTTGATCACCACGAGGAGTGCACTGTGCTCCAATCTCTAGCGGCCAAGATGAAAGGCGAACTAGCGAACGACCCAACTACAGAGAGCCTCTACACTCTAATCGCTGAACTTAAAATCGATTTACAGAACACCAAATCGAAGCTCTTTGAATCAGAAAACGAAGTTTCAAGAGTTGGACGTCAGTTAAAGAGAATGAAGCTACGCATGCAAATCGACGATGATCTTGAATACGACCCCGAATGGGATCCAGACTATTCCTATGGGTACTCCCCCTCGAGTATCGCCCACCTCAGTAGCATCATAGCAAAATACTTACTCAATAAACCCTACTATGTAGATCGTAATCGGGTGTTCAATGCTGTGAAGCGTTGCCATGACTATTATCATAGCTACGCCAGTTATTATCAAGATGTACATATGTTACTTGCCACTGCTTATGCGAGTAACTGGTTCACTGAAAACCAGAGAAGTAACTTTGAATGTTGGCTTAACAATCTGACCCGACAAAGATTTCTGCGTTGATCCGGGGAAAAAACAATGCTCAAGAGAATATTAAACATAAAATGTGGAAACACACTCAAAGTCAAAGGGCGTTTTCCTAGCCTGGGCACAGACGGACGTTTGTTAATCTTCCACTCTTTATGGGATTAAATGTCTTTCCCCTTAGACGAAATTGTTAAAAAAAAAGTATTTGTAGTGTTAACGACAATGCAGTCCGATTTCCTTCAATGATTAAAAAAACCTTTTATTCTGGATTTCTTACCAGGAAGTTTAACTCCCCAGATTCCCTCCCTACCTTCTCTACCTTAGTTAATTTTGTTTTCATCTAGACCATTTTTTATACCAGGATATTTTTCGTAAAAGCTGAATATATCGTCATCTTTAGTGAGTCATATATCTAATAGCAATACTTCATGCGTATGTGATGTACGCCTTCGTCATTGACGTGCCAACTAGAGATCGATTGACTGGTGAAAAAAAGCAACTTGTGATGAGCTTTTGTGAAAATGGTTGACATTACAATGGTTTTGATAGTAAACAAAGTATTGTTGTATCATATCTAGGTAAACAAATTCTATAAAACAAATTTTTTGATTCATATATTTTCCATTTTTAAGTGGATTATGCACAGATATGTTTTATATTATATGTCATACATGTATGAGTATAGAAATAAGTTGCAACAAACCCTTCCTTTTGTATTTGAGGTAAGATACTGAATTTTCCCTACAAATGCCATCAATAAATAATTTACATCAAGCAAACTCACTATCTAGTCGTGCTCAATTAAATGCATTTTTGTCCCCATGGTGCACTGCATTATGGGAAATGATGGGTTATCAATGATCTAGTTCATAATTCAAACAAATACCCACAGTGCCGTGCTTAATGGGAACCATATTGGTTACAAATGTATTTGCACAAAGATGTTATATGGCATCAAAACCACATTACAGTAAATTACAGAAGAATGTATTATGGGAACGTTTGGGGTGAAAATGTTTTAACAAAGATACTACGGTACACAGAAGTTGCATATGTTGCAAAGGATTCTTATATGCTCTTAAGTAAAGGAGTTAAAATATGTGTACCTTCTATTCAGAAGAGAAATTGTATTAAATTATTATTATAAAAACTTCCTCAATCCTACAATTTTACTTAAATCTGATAAAGTTTGAATATCGAGATTGACCTTATAACAGTGTACTTAAAATGAGTACAATTCTAATACTGAATTAAAGTGTGATTTAAAAAAAATGTAATTTGCAAGAGTTAATATGCAGGGGCATTAACAAAGATATTTCTGGATGATTAATTCCAAGAAAGTGTTGAAAAAGTAAAAATGATATTAAACTGTAGCTATTAAATATTGATAATAAAATTGTCTAAAATTTCCAAGTTTCTTTCATTTTTGATGAAAATGTTTTGAAATTATTATGCTATCTTAAGCCCATTACATGTTGCAACTTTTAATCTGAGCTTTTGGTGCAAAGGCATTGTCATACAAGTTTCATGGGAATGTTATATGGCACAATTTTGTCCTGAAGCTTGTTCAAGTTTCAGTTGCAAGATTAGAAAGCTGATTCAGTTTAAACTTTCAACATGTACAAGGGGATATACTTCTTTTCCAAGTATCTCTGTGACCGTTGGTTTAGGAAATTGCTGTGAGTTTACTTACTATACAGTTTAGGTTATCTTCAACCTACTTTCTACTTCGTCTTTTAACCTTCTTCTGTAAGATATCCTTGAGTTTGTCGTATCTTCCTGACGAAACTTGGATATTGCCATAGATAGGATCCAACCACATAATCCTATCCTCAAAGCTAACCTTGTGGAGTGAGGTACTACTTGTATAGAACCTTGTTAGTAGGTCCATTGGTAGGGTGACTGCAGGGGGTGGCGGAGGGGTGAGAGTGGTACATGGTTTGAGTAACGGCGTAAGCGGTTCTGTCAGCCACCATCCCTGGCTAGATTCCTTTTCAATCCCATTTTCTTCTTCCTTCTCTTCATATTTCCTTTCCTCATCTGAAAGGATTTCTCCGTCTTCCACACTTTCAGATGATGCTTTTCTTTGCTTTCTAGCCTTTCTATCCAGCAGTTTACTACCTTTATTCTGTGTGGCAGTCATGTTTAAAAGCTCACAAGGAATAGGGAGCTCATTGGCGATAGTAGAAGGCATATCATCTGAAGATTTTGGGCTAATTCTACTTGGTGCATTGTGATGCAGTCGTTCCAGTAGCTCCTTCTCTTTAGTTCCACACTGAATTCCAGGATGAGAAGGTGAGTATCCACCATCATTATCTTTGATATTCTCTTCATATTTCTTCCTCTTATGACCATCAGGTTCACTAGGTTCATCTGGGATACATAATAAAATGAATTTAATATGAATACTGAATTCTCTTTACCTTAGGCATATTGTAATGTTCCCATTTCAGACCATGTGTCAATGAATCCCTTGAGCACCATAACTTTGTTTGATGGTAATGATAATAGAAATGATAAAAATCATAATAGTTTACTATAAATATTGACATTAACCCTTTGAATACTAGCAACATTATTTACTTTTCTCAGTTATACCTAAACGCATATACACCTAATTCACAAAATGTTGTCATCATCAAAGGGGATAGGCGATAGGTCATTCCGACATGGAAATGGTTTCATTGAATACAAAGAACATCAAATCAGTCTCAGCACGAAGGTCTATACTCTTGAMGAGAAGAAGAAGAAACACAAGTCATTCCAGGTATTCTTGGATCTTGGAATGACATATATCCTTTTCGCCTATTGCCTTTGGCGATGACAACCGTTTTTGAGTTAGGTGTATGTGGGCATACAGTTTGAACATAAATACTATGACGAAAAGATTTTGAAACATGTTTTAATTGAATATTTCGGCTATAAAACAATAGTCATCTAGTTGAAATTCCGTTATACCTTCATCAATATCCATGTCTCCTTCACCATGATTTGTTTCACTTCGTCTTCTCTTTTTAGTTTTTTTTCTACTTCTACTTGAAGAATGACCACTCTGCCTCTGTGCTTGCTTGTACATTTTTTCCAAGTTACGGATGGATTGATGGGGAGACATTGGTGGGAAGCCCAACTGTGCACTTCTGTCCAAAAAACCTAAGGAAAAAATACATCAAGATTTGAATTTTATTGATCAGTTTAGCTTTGAGCTGCTACTATCATGCATTTTACTAACTATTTTAGATCTGATTGACTAGAAACATTAAGCCCTCCATGATATGTTGTGAACTAGACATGATAAACATATTATCTGTAGGTTTTTCTGCAGATAAAACATTCACAGGTGTATCAAGTCAAATTCATTCAACCTTGCAAAAGAAAATAAATATTGTAATACTTTTCTCTCTTTTTTTTTTCTTTCAAATTATATAATTTGGCTATTAAATTATAACTTTACAACATTAACACACCCCTACTTGCACCTCTGTCAGAATGTGGCTCAATTTGGAGGACATAACGATAGGTTTCCAATCCTCATGAGATTGAAATTCTTTTGTTTTGTTCTCCAAGTTGAGCTGGTTTGACTTCATATGCAAGGGGTCTATTATGGACTTCGGTTTTCACATGATATTTTGAATTATAAAGACATCATATATTTAGGCAGCGTTCATAATGTATGGTAGACRGGGGGCAGGTGAAATTGAGGGGGGATTGGGAAATTTTTGGTAGGAACAAGGGGGGGATGGGAAAATTTTTATCAGAAAAATGGGGGAATGCGCAATTTGTGGAAGAAGCTACAAGCCTTGCTTAGGGGGGATCATATTTTTTTGCATGACTTTAAGGGGGGGGGTTGAGTATTATTTTGGACATTTCAAATTTTCACCTGCCCCCCCCCCCCTTCTGCCATACATTATGAACACAACCATATCTGCTGCATGCCTATCTTATAGTATTGGCAGATAACACAGCCTATCATGCTCAACCTCATGCAATAATTGTTTATTGTTACACATACCATGAGGCAAACTACAGTTGAATCCAGGATATCTCACAAACAAACTCTTTTTGTCATCTTCATCATCATCTTCTCCATCTTCAAGGTCTTCCATAACATAATCATCAACATTTCCATCTGCATCATACAGAGCAAGTGTTGGGGTATTAACACTAGGTATGTATCCTGGGGGGTACCCTAGTTCACGCATTTTGTAAATGTATGGCGGCACTTCATTAGCACTGATTCCAAGAGCTTCTCTGAGGTTATCACTAATAACTCCTGGTTTAAATGCACCAAATCTTTCCTCATCAAAATGGTACCTTGAGCCTCTAACGATAGGGGAAGAAAATTTATGAATAAATTCTTTGCGTTTTGCCTCTATTCTCGCGGTATTCTGTGGCTCAGGACAGTCACTAACATTATGCCCTGTACGTCCACAGTTAAAACACGTTTTTCCTCTTTTGACTCTAACTTTGGAGTTTTCTTCATCACAGGGAAGTGCAATAAAGTAAACTTGTTCATAAATTGGTACATTCCATCCCTCACTATTTACAGGATCCCAATTTTCCAAGGGAAATCCGCAAAAGTCGATGCAGTAAGCATGAAAATACTGAGTATGATTTATAACCGAAAAACAATGGCGATTTTCGAGTTCAGCAGAGCTCTTTTCGTTACTCTTTTCACTTTCGTTTTCAGTTGTGAGTTGCTCAAGTGTTTCTAATGAGGGTTGCAAGTCAGAATATAATGAGCTTCTAGACGTAGATTCGACTGCATTTAAAGGATCCTGCGCTGTCAGCAAGCTATGGAGAAAGAATTCCAGCCTCTGTCGTCCTTCAGTAGATACAGAATTGTTGTAGAATACCGCATTGAAAAGTGGTTTTTCCTGGGTGTTTTTTTCCACTCCAAAGAGAAGTTTCTTTAACACGTGTTTGAGTTTAGAATTTTCTTCCTTCAGGAGTTCTAAGTCGTCAGAAGTTGAGCTTGCTTCCTCTTCGTATTTGGAAGATGCAAAATCTGGTGATTTTTGTTTGGAATCTGTTGTAAACTCCGAGAAGAGAACGTCTTCGTCGAAGCATTCCATTCCCTCCACCTCCGCCATCTTTGCTTGAAGGTCTTCGCGGGCGAATTTTACACAGGAAGCCCGGCATACCACAGGGTGCCCATACTCATTAATTAACGGATCAAAACTACAGAATTTTCCAATTATTTATTTGACTGTGACCAAAAGAAACACAAGCTCTTGCAACGAGAATAAATGCATGTCTCTCTGTTACTCTTTCCACTCTAACCGGAAATTGAAAATATTGACATTAGAGTTATCTAATTATCGAATAAGTGGGGAACATACGGTACTGACATACAGCACGTATAAAGGTACGAAGTGTCGTAACAGTGAAATGACTTCCCATAGGAATGGTTATTATATGAGTGGGAAACCGATACGGTACTGACTTACAGCACGCTACCACAAGCCATAACATTGAGATGGTTTCCAATTGTCTTTAATTCATCCAATCACAGCGCGTACTTACACGGCTACGGTAAAATACGACGACCATAGTTAACTATGGTACGACGGAAGCGTAAAGCTATAGCTAGGAAAAAGTAGTAACGGAATCACATCCGATCAGTATGAACGGCAAGGCATGATCGTGAGTGACTGATACCTCGATCGTTCCCATAGTCTCGAACACTGCACGTAAAACGTTTTTACGTAAAACTTTTATACGTTCACCTGGTTTCAAATTTCTTAGCTAAAAAATTCTAAGTATTGTCATCCGGTCTGTAGTTATATAAAGCTCGAAATTTAGTTGCAAAATCAGTTGTTATAAATATTTCGTTCACAAAGATGAAACTTTCGCTGCAACTAGTGCTGGTTTTCTTGGTAGCTTGGGTAAGTATTTTTTTCTGATGACCTCTGAGTTGCATTTTACACAAGAATACAAATATAAATTTTGAAAGACTGAAGTGGCCTCTGGGCTGATCTCAGTCCGGCGACGGCTATAACTCACAGATTGAGCCCTGCAACAACCCGTCTGGGCTTATAAAAGTCAAGGCACTGCTACTAATCCACAGATCCAACCCTGAAACAATCCGTCTGGGCTCACGAGAAACACGCATACTCTCAGTTTTCCGCATTTATAATTTCACATATATTGTAATAAATCATACCGATCTTTACTTAAATTTTAGGGCAAAAGCTGTCCAGTTATCAAGCCCAGTCAGAACGTCTTCCATAGGTCTTGCCTAGACTACCTGAAATCAGGTTCGACCAAATGTGGAGTTTACAGAATCTATAATGATGATGGCAACAGCTTTCCTGTCTATTGTGATATGAAGACCGAACCAGGAAATGCATGGACCCTCGTCATGTCTTGGAAACACAAGAATCGCGTATTCAGTCAGTTCAGATCCTCTGTTTTCAGCACAAACGCTCCCGTCAACGAGAACGCACCAAACTTCAACCTGTACCGCCAGACGTTGTCTCGTATGCAGTCCATCAAGAGTCACTCTACACACTGGAGAGCCACGTGTAGTTACCCTACACACGGGGTAGACTACAGGGACTACGTCAGGGGAAACTTCAAGGACTTCGACATCATGACCTTCCTTGGTATTGGAGTGTGCAAGAAAGTGGAGTACATCAACATCCGTGGACATATCGGCATCCACACGACTGCTCGCTGGTGGCAGGTACTAAACACATCCACCTTGCACATTGACAGTAGTTCTAGTGGCTGTGGACTCGTACCAGTGGCAGGATCAGTGTCAAGCGAAGATAATTTTGGTTTCCCTGATGCTATCAATCCCAACTTCCGCTGTACCGCTAACGACAACGCGACAACCCAGTGGTGGTTCGGTGGTCATCTTTAGACCGCTCTAGACCGGCTTCAGTTTTTTTAACCTATAGAGTTTTTCTTGTTTCACTTGGATTTAAGATGTGTAAAATTTCAATGCGCTTGTATTGTTGAAATTGTGCATAATTAATTACTTTGCCAGTCGTATATTTGTGAATATTTTGACACTTAAATGAAGCCTGAGTAAATCAGTCTACGCCATTTTCTTTAAAGACAAGGTCCATAGAAAGACGGGCACGCCGGATTATTTTTTAGTTTTTATATAAAAACACCTTAACTCTTTAATGTAGAAGATTTATATTTATTAATAATAAAATATTTTGCAATTACGAAAGTGCCTATTTCATGCAAGTACCGTATTTACTCGGCGTTGATGTAAAACTCGGGCCTTGCTGTTGAACTGCAAGTCTGATATAGAGAATGTTAATTTTCTGCTAGCACAGTGGTATACCATGATGCACTGCAGGTTTGGCGCTGCTGGTGGTATAAGCAGGGGCGGCGGAAGCTAAAGATCTTTGGGAGGGGGGGGGGCACTGAAGATTATATTTAACGCTATGTGATAATGACAATGTTTTGTTTGATTGCAGACGCATGCGCCGTAAAACAATGACTAAGAACCAATATTTTTGGGGGGTGCCAGCCCCCCCAAATTTGGTGAGGGGGACACGTGCCCCCCCGGTTCCGCCGCCCCTGAGTAGGCGGGGTGTAACCCCCATTAACCAAACAAATCATCCCACTCCCATGGCTCCTTCCTACACAATCAAGTTAAAAATTAGCGTACAAATGTCGGCAGAAGAAAGTAATTTTCGTCCAGTTAATCCAGTTTGAAAACGGAAATTTTCTAGAAGGCCCTTACAACTGCTTCATACTGAAAACTCTATTGTTACTGAAAAGTGAAAAAGAGAAACCAAAAACACAACTGCTTGTATTTTTCCAACGCTGATCTTTATTCTTATCGTTATCGTTTACAATGCATTAAGAAAAGTACGTTAACGTCATACTGAGTTAACGAGACTCAATGCCGCCTGATCAGAAAAACTAACAAATTAATTGCTAGTGTAATACATATATTTATAATTTAGTTAAATCCCTTTTCAAGTTAACTTTCTTTTGGTTATTTAAAAGTCTAATTTCTTATTGCAAACTAAATTCTTCATCGTTTTAATAGGATTTTAGATTCTCGCGTGTCCTGAGTGAGTCCGGAACAAGTTTTCTTGTTCAAAGATGACCACCGAACCACCACTGGGTTGTTGACTTGTCGTTAGCGGTACAGCGGAAATTGGGGTTGGAGAAATCGTAATAACCAAAGTTGTCTTCGCTTGAAGCTGATCCTGCGACTGGCACGAATCCACAGCCAGAATTGCCACTGTCAACGTGCAAGGTGTTTATATTCCGTTGTTGCCACCATTTAGAGGTCGTGTGGATGCCGATATGTCCACGGATGTTGATGTACTCCACTTTCTTACACACTCCACCACCAAGGAAGGTCATGATGTCGAAGTCCTTGAAGTTTCCCCTGACGTAGTCCCTGTAGTCTACCCCGTGTGCAGGGTAACTACACGTGGCTCTCCAGTGTGTAGAGTGACTCTTGATGGACTGCATACGAGACAACGTCTGGCGGTA